ATATTCTAAAGTATAAAGCAATCTAAGGCGACCTGAAGGGTGCATTTTTATTGATTCAGAAATCCAATAAAAAAATTCTGAAAAGCGAGCAAGAGCTTAAATGTGATCTAAATAACATAAGGTCGATTATAAAAATCAAAGATCTGCTTCCGTTCAACTGTTTCATAGATGCGACGATGCGACAGCCCTGCCTTTAAATGATAACTAATGCTGGAAGTTATTTGTACTAGAACAAAAACAAAGACAAAAATAAAGCAAAAAAAAAAAACAAAAAACACATTACAAGTCAATGAGTGTAAAGTAGGTTCTCTCCTTCTCACAAATACTTATTTTAATTACAATATTATTATTTAAACTTTTTTGCAATTTCATTGTTTTTGCCCTAAGAGCGCATTAATAGTGTTCCATTAGCTTTTGCTTGCATTGAATCAATTTTTCTACTTTCTCGCTAGTTTTGTTCTTTTTGTTTGTTATTTGACCGGCTTTCGCCAAGCGAAGAATCGAATCAAACCATTTATAAAGCGGTTATTTAATATAACAAAAAAAAAATATAATAATAATAATATATTTATGTGCATTACAGTTAATTCCAAATTTTAATACGTACTTAATATAAAAGTGTAAAACTATTACAGTTAATCATATCTTATAATATTTCAAAAAAAAAAAGAAAAGTTTACTAAAAGTACTATAAAGTACTTTATATATACATATATATAAAATTGTATGCAATCCGACGACCACTTGTGAAATTGAAAATTCATTGAATTTCATTCTTGTACAAAACAATATAAACGCAAACTAAAGTGCAATATAGCATTGAGTTCTGTAAGTCAAGCTAAGGTATGTAGTAAACTTTCTACCTCTGCTCTGACATTATTATAAAAACCCATCTAAACGATTTCGTGTACTAGTATAACATTTACAAAAAGGAACGCGCAAATGAATTAATCCAACAAAACGATCGAGGGCCGGAAAGGGGACTGAAGAAAGTGTGCGTTTGAGAGAGATGGAGAGAGAGAGAGAGAGCGAGAGTAAAGCAAACTTTTATTAAAGCATTCGACTTGTTTTGCATTGCGTTGTGTCGTGTTTATTAAGTGACGTTGACGAAAACATGGAACGGCGTTGGTTTCTTCTTTTCTCCCTATGCATGGACAGACTTACGGTACAGATCAAATTTAGTCATGAGGTCATGCATACGCAAACTTAAACCTTATTTATTTAACTTGAAATCACACAAACCGATACACGAGAGCTCTCTTTATGTGCTAGCTTGTCTAACTTTTATGTTAATATCGGTGAAAAGATGAAATTCAAAACAAAAAAAGTGATTTATTATCTATATTATAACGTGGAAGAAAAGATAAATACGCAGAGATAAAATGTTTTTAAAATAAATTTAAACCGACTCCACTTAATGAACAGAAATAACTGTTGACTTAAGAGCAACTATATCTAGGTTATCTAAAACGAAAGAAAATAAAAAAAAATTTGAATCAAATCCACCTTCCGCCAACATAGCTTTAACGCGGAATCATGGAAAGCTGTCGATAAAAATACAACAGAAAATCAATAGATTCAACTTTCAATGAATCACTTTATGCGCGATCTTCCTCCTCCTCATCTAGATGAGAAAGAAGAGCATTCCGTTTAGTTCAATTTCCCTGCCGAAGCTTCACACTTTCGAAAATTTCCTTTTCGCTTATGCTGATTTTCTTTTAAATTAACGACTAAAGTCTTAGGACTCTCTTTAGGGGATATCCGCAATATAAAGGCTTCCATAACCTTTACCTGTCCTCTAAAGACTCTTGTTGGATATCGCAAACCATATTCGGTGCACACTACGTCAAAAGAGATAAAGTCACTTTTTTAATCGGTTTTTATATCTGAGCTGATTACTTGAATCACGGGCAATAGTTCGATGATAAACCAATTTTGGGAACTATGTTACTGCGATAACAAACTAAATCGAATAGGACATGCATCCACTCATGCATTCAACCGTAAAGAATTTGTTTTGGATGACATTTTCCCCCTAGCACGTATTAAGACTTGGATGACGGAGATTACGCTTTGCATCGACGCAAGTAACACTAACGTCATATTCTTTTATATCTTCCCGGGCTGGTCCCTCCAACTTGACCAATAGATTAAGTGGGAAGCCTCCAGAAGTTATATAATGTCTGAGGTAATTCTGGACTAAAAACTGAACTTTGATGGACACTTGAACAGTGTGAAATATGGGTTACTTTACGGGAATTAAACAATCTAAAACTGCACTTGCCATTTCAATGTAAATATACCGATTCGCATGCCCTTCCTACGCCGCAAGGTTAACTGCCATATTGAACTGTTCTCGGGAGAGGCTTAAACTGACACAAATGCCTACTTAAAATTGAGATTCGCTGTAAAATCCTTTGGGCCCAGCGCCCAATCTCTTGATCGAACGACTGTAGTTTTCTAGGTTGAGTAGGAATACCGCGCATATCTAAGCCCTTGGCTGAACGTTCGCCTATTGTCCATTCATCTTGATACTGCAATGCGTTGCCGCTGACTTTGTGACCCTCTTGATGACTCCTTAAATGCTTTCAACAGAAAATTGGCCTCAACGGTTTGTCCGATTGCAATGCTTAATAATGGAGCAGAGTGTTCATTTGAATAGTCTTTAGTTTCTTCCAATTCACGATTTATATTAACGTATGTACTATGTATATTGGTCTATGGCTTGAAGTTGCTAATATATTTGAATAACAAAAGAAAAAAAAAGAGAAAAAATACATAAATTTGTAGCAAAAGTCACAGTCGCTTACTAAGTCATTCTTCTATTAATGTCTTCGAACAATTGGTAAATTAGTTTTCAGGTTATGTTTCGTTTCTCAATAGTCTTGAAAAGCATTCCTTTAAAGTTTTGATTTGGTCGACCTTAGTAATGACTTGTACTTTTGGAATATACAAAATTGTCTACGAAGGAAAATTTTCTTATGTAAAATAGAAGAGTTTGCGAAAATTTACCAAATCTCTTGTGTTTCTCTAAATGATAGCATTCACGTGCGATGAAACACAGAGTGCGGAAATTAAGCACCTAGCACGGATAAGAATTTTGTTTTTTGTTCGTTACTTGCAGAGAGGGTTTAACGTAAAGATATATATATATATATATATAAATGCAACTTTATCATAGAAAGCAATTACACATACGTTCATATAAACGAGATACAGTGTTAAGCGGTTTTCGTTGCCGACGCTAAATTATTCACAAAACACATTGTTTACAAATATATGCAATATTTTCTCAAATCTCATTCTTACACTCCATCTCGCTCACTCTCTCCTTTAGCTTTCTTCTCTTGTGTTAGAGTAAAAAATTCTTTTGTTTCATTTTTTTTCAATATTTATTTAAATCGGAGTTGTGCGTCCGTTTACAAGCATGGATTTGCACGTTCATATATACATGTACATGTATATATATAAATATGCAATTATCAATAATTACATTATTGCTTACATTATTAATGATCTTATCAGATTTCTTAGAAATGTTTTCTGCTAGCAAGCAAATTGAATAATTTCTAAAATTACTAATAAATATCGAACCGCTCAAGTGAAAGTGTTGTAAGGTAAGCAAATTGTTTACTCTATCCAAAGTGTTAATATTCTATTAAACTTGTTTACACTTTGCTCAGATTACGTTTGTGTTCTAATTTTCGATTCGTATATTTATACACACGTATGCATATGACTAAGAAAATAACGATAAGCACGTCACTGACAATGTTGAAAAATTGTAAATTGAGAAGAAAATCGAAATTTGTTTGACACCTTTACTACTGTTACTGCAAGGCTTAGTTCGTCATTGCTTTTATAAACACCTATGCGAAGATGTAGAAATTGCATATAAGCGGTAAACCATATCAACTAAGATATGCTGAGTTTTTGTTTCTATCTGCCGGTTTGTCCGTGAAACTGTTAGAGCCGTAAATCTTATCAGCTTTTTTATTTTAGACGTAAAGCTTACGTCTACATGTTTATCTACGCTATGCAAACACATTCAGCCAGGGCGACTCTTTTATGCATGTACGAAGGTTTTAAATTTATTCCATGTGGCGAAGCGTATGAGAGTGATCGGCTTTATTTCGGTACTGAATATACTTATACTTTGATATATCTGGACAAAAGTTCTTGTATGTATGGTTTTCTATTATAATGTAAGCTTTTGCGGGTGAACCAAGCCCATCCAGTCACTTGCTCTGTATTATATCCGGAATCGTGTGCTGTTTACGAATATATGCTTCAAATCAGTACCTATTTATCATACATATATATTTTCAACCTAGCGAACGTCAACTACGGATGTATATTTGCGAAGTTTCATGTTTCTGTTTCTTTTTTAACTTTTGCGACCGCGAGTTTGCCAGTAAACATATAGAAGGACAGGAAATTTGAGCTGATTAGATATATATGTGCATAGCTTATGTAATCGCTAAAGTATATTTCTTACGTCCGGTGGCCACATATAATAGTTAATTTCCATAAACTTACTTTACAAATGTATATCCGCTTCAGGAAAGAACTTACTTCACCAGTTTCGATCATATTCAAATATGATATTCTCTCGTTTTAAGTCCATTATTAAGAGATTTTTCCTATTTATATTCTTATGAGCCTAATATAAGTGCAAGTATGCAATCCTCTCTTCGTAGATGTTTTTAAGGTGTCCTACTAAAAACGTTTTTCATTAGTTATAAGGTTTTTAAACTATACATTTAAGACGTCGGTCGCGTTAATTTTATTTTTCAGATCATTATTCGCTTCTTTTTAAGTAACATATGTTATAAGCAAAACGATGAATTTGGAAGACTTACCAAGATTGGAGTCTTTATCACCCATTAAAGACATTATCTATCACAATTTGGCAGATCAGATTAATTTAAATCGATTGGAGCCACAATCATCAATTGCACCAATGTCAAGTAAAAATTATCTTAGTAAACCTTACATGCTTGAGAATAACAAAAGTGGAAATGAACCTATGTTAAGTGGCGGTTTAAGATATATTACGCAGGTAAGTTTGTTGCTCTTTTTGTTTTATTAAATTTGTAAAAAACAAAATGATAAAAGAAAAAGAATTGTGAATATTCTGTAAAAGAGAAAATGCAATTTCGCAGTTAAATAACTGAAGGAAATAAAAATTCGCACAGAGTTGCTTATTAAAAATAAAACGCAGCTACATTTTACAACTTCACCACGAAAAAAAACTTTTGTAACCATGACAATAAAACCCACCACCGCATAACAGTGCGGTATGAGGTGAACAACAGTGCAGAAAGCAACGCATAAGAAAAATTTTATGAAATTAGTCGCCGAAAAAAAATTGGAAAAATTACAAGTGAAAGAAATCGAGGCGTGTATGTCAACAATTCCAGACTGTTTTTTTTTCTTCAAAAGAAAAAAAAAATTCAACGTCTATAATAAAAAAGTAAACAGCAAATCTGTGTCACTGTTTAATTACGGATTAAAGTTCAAAAGCCGACAAAAAGGAAAAGCAACAAAAAAAAGAGTTAATAATAAAAGTAAAAAAAGGAGAAAAACGTGATGTTAAAGTTTACATAAAAAGAAAGTCAAAATAAGAAAACAATGAATATTTAAGCAGAATTGAGAAATTCTTTCTAAAGATTTTTGGGCAGGGGCATGTCTAATAAGTAACTTTCAAACTAAAATTTTACACAAAGAGAACATATTTTGAAAACATTTCACTTAATTTTCTCTGTTTATAAAACATCTGTCAGTTTGGGCGCGTTTGTGCTTAGTGTTTCTAGTAACGTGTGGTATAGTTTGTGCAATCTTTTTCCCTCAGATAATGAATGCACAATTTGTTAGGACATCTCTTCTGCTTAATTTGATTTCTATTGAAATTAAATTAAATCTAGATCGGTTTGCGAAGTAAAAGTTAAAAAACCACGAATATCTACCATTCCTCTCCTATAATTTTGTTGTGACTTTTGTTTGGTTCAAAGCGTTATTACAGTGTTGCCAAGAAGTGTATTTCAAAACAGTTTCCATATTTGATAGCGAATTTGTTATTACAGCGTTCGGGAAACAATTTTTTTTGTTCAAAATAAAAAACGACTTTTCGTATTTTTCGTATTATCATCAACAGTCGATACTCGATAAACTTAACTTCTCAGTTATCTCACGTGTTATTCAGCCGTTTGCATCAATGAATGTCTTTACTTTGTGCATATCCGACATCGAAATTTTGCAAACCAGTTTTGGCAACGGCGTTCTGTCAATACATCTCCTCTATACATATTGGGTAATTTTATTCTTGCTTGAATAGCATTTTTACCTTTTCGATAGTAAAAAAGTAAAATATACCGCAAATTTTGGTTTTCAGTGCCCAAAATTTAAAAAGGTGCCAATCGAAAGCTACTATGTGTCAAACTTTTCACAACTAAGCCTTGCTATATTAGTTATCAAAATATATGATAATTATGCGAAGTGTGAAGTTGACTGTAAAAAGATTCAATTAAGCCCTCCCCGAACAATCTAACATGTTTTAAATCTTTGATCTGAGTCTCTTTAAATTTCAAATTAGATTATTTCAAGTTTTCCAAAGCGCGCACTTGACCAAGGGAGACATGTTTTCAACTAAATTCTACTTTATCTTACCTTTTTAAAAATCCTTTCTAAGATTTTGTCAACAATGATCTACATAGAAAGTTGAGAGTAATGTTTTGCATGCAGTAAAAACTATGATATACTTATGGTAGATTTTATCCATAATAATTTTTCATTTGGTTCCCATTATATTTCAGAACGAATCATTGCGTAATTCATTGCGCAATTCATCACGTATTCTTATTACCAGCGATTTTATATTTGCTTCAACGCTTTATTATTTAGAGCAGCATTAATTTATTGAGCGTCGGCAATACTGTACTGTACTTGAAGAGGGTAAATTCTTTTTCTCACTCGCGTTTTCATTTATCTCTTTTTTTTTTTTTTACTTTTTTAATGGTGAAATTACTTTTTTGTTTTAATGCCAAAGTCAACTTGTTTTTTACATTTGTAACAAGAAATGCATTTTGTTTGCTATTAATAGCGGATTTAATAAATCTTGAAAATAGTTGTGTGCCTTTTTCGGAATTGCTTTGCAAATAATTGTCTTTGTTTTTACCTTAACATTGGATGAAAGCAGTGAAAACTAGGAAAACAAAGAGAATTAGTTTAAAAACGAAAGAACCTTATTGTGCAAATGTTTTGTGTTTTTGTTTATCTTCTTCTTTTTCTCTAAACATATGATTCATAACATTGCTGGTTGATGATATGTAATGCTTTTGTGATAATACGAACAATTTGGAGTGCTTTGAAGAAAACCGTCAAATTGTAAACGTATTTTATGTTTATTTATTAGTAAAAAATATTAAAAATATATCGTAAATAATTAATATGAATTAAATATTAATTACTTATCCATAGAAATAATGGCGCAAAATTATAAAGAAATTCGTTAATAATGTGTGCGGGAGGACACGCACATCTTTACAAGTCTAACCAGATAAAAAATATTCAAACAATGAAGTGAAGTGATGAAACTAATAATAATAGATTTTCTTTAACACATATGTATATGTAGTTAATCCAACAAGAACACATATAGAAAATTGGCAACGCTTACGTGGGGTAATATTCATTTTGAAAAATTTAATTAAAGGTTTTAACCACAGCCGAGGATAGTTATTTGTGGTGCGCGCTCACCCCTAAAAACGAATAAAGCAATAAAGCCGAAGCCGCCAAATTTCGGCTTATTGACCAAGTTCAAGGACGTTATCAACAAAGAAACAAAACACATCGAAAATCTAGTAAGAGACATTTGATTGTTTTAAAAATCGTGAAATCAAACAATTGTAAAAAAAATCGAAAACTAAGAGACGCAAGAGTTTCTGCACAGTTAACCACGCCAACACCATCGTCCATTACTGCCATAACATAAGCATCAGATAAATAGGACGGCAAACAGAAAGGTAAGTGAACTTCTTCGTTTTCTTATATGCTTGAATGCTTAAGAGCATTGAAAGCATGAAAACATGTGCGCAAACAGTACCTTACGTCAGAAATTGTCCATATTTTCATAACTCGGAAATTGGTTGATCTTTTTTTTTTTTATCAAAAGAAACAGGCAATTAAAAACAAACAATGAAAGCACTCTATGGATAAAAATTAGTCTGTAGTCTATTTTAGATAGTGTTCTCTGTATTCCAAACAATCCCAAATACAGGTGGACGCGACTTTATGTATCCACTTAGAAACTCGATGACATAAATATATGCTTTGCATAGAGAAACTAACCTGATAAGTAATAAAGACATTTATTCGTTGAAGACTGTGTACACCGGTTTACTATATTATCAACGACCTTCGGGCTTTCTCCGGTAGTGCGATGTTAGAAAGAATTTTTGTATTAGTAATGGAAATACATTTCCCAAGAGCATTTGTCCTTCAGCGCAATTCTGATTAACGCGTACTATTATTATCGTTTGTTTACGAATGTTTACGATATTTTCATATCGTGCAGCAAGCCAATTAAGAATTTCCTTTTATTCATTCTTCACGTATATTCTTCCGACTTTTGTTTTTATAGCGTACGTCGCTTGCCGTAAGAGTATTTCAATTTTATGCATGTTCACGCAACAACGAGGGGAATTAGATCGACCTTCTATTATGTTGCTGCATTTGCAAATATTTTTGGAATTGATTTAAGCATTTTCTTATCTAATGTCTGTCCATGTGTTTTTGCATAGAGTTTACTGGTCATAATTTTCTAGATATTTTCATGAAATTTTGTATACCGACTGCCGACATTTAGTCCGAATCCTGTTAAGAGTGGTTTGGGTCAACCCATTTTTATGACCACACCTTTGCACAAAAACGTATGTGAGAAAAAAATCATTGTGTGCAGAGAACTTTCAATTTTTACTGTTGCTCGATAAAAGAGAGCACAGTACATTGGCTTCTTAGAGGCATATCGAAAATATGGAAGATGTTATTAATAAGAGATAGTTATATTTTAAACCGCCTTCCATATAAATGATCCTAAAAAAGGGTTTGCCATAAATTAGTAAAAGAAATAAGTCATCCTGTACAATTACTGTGTGAACTACGGACCACTTGAGACCTTACCCTATGTTAATGCTTTTCATAAAACCTAAGTCTTCATCCGGCAACAAGATATAAATTTTTAAATTTTATGACAAAGGCAAATGAGAAGTATGGATAGTTTTCTTGGACCTCTGCACTAATGCAAAAACTAAGAAAGGAATTTATACTTACAAAGCTTCGAACCCTCCCTTTTATGTCTGTTTGCTCGGGACCATTTTACACTGACCTAAACATTTAATAAACGCCTTTTAAGGGCCGTAAGTAACATTGTATTGTGACATTTTGTGAGCATTAATGCACCGTCCAACTACGGAATTGTAAGAGTAGCAGTAGTTTGTTTTAAAATTATAGATTAATATTTGTTCGGGGAGAAAAATTTTGGGTATTATGTTGTGAATCGCGAAATTGCTCTTTAGATATTAAAATACACTTACTTTCGTAAACGAAATTTCCTGGACAAAAGGCGGACCGACCGACAGACAGATGTAAATGGGATTGGTGACCATATCTCACTGCGACCGGGGATGGCATCTATATAAAGTAAATCTAAACCACATCTCTTAGTGAAGGATAGTGAAGTTTGCTGCATTTGAATTTTCGAGCTACGATAGAGAATATTTAACAATAAATTTTCGAACACAACTATCTAATTTCGTGTTTCAGACTTTTCAATAAAAATCCCCAAGTATGTTTACTGTGTACCATAACCAATGTGTTAACTGCGTATTCGAAATTTTAATTAGCTTTGAACATTTCAATTTTTGATAGTCTGCATAAATTACAATTTCTTTATCTCTTTGTCCGGAATTGTTTTGCAGCTTCATCATCTCGTACAAGGGAAAGTATACAAAATGTTTGTTAAACCTTATATATCCGCCTATGTGTGCGTGCCGTTTGAATGACAATTCAACGGCACTCTACTCTTTGATCGGTTAGTATCGCAGATTGAAATGTGCGCAAGGGACTTGAAGAAAAGATAGGATAACCTAAATGAACTTGAAAAATTTGATGCATATCCTTACAATCCTTGCAATCTACATACGTATCAAGACTGTATAGGGGTAATTTGTAAAGAGTTGCCGGAACATGCCCCCAGCGAATTAGTAAACGCTAAGAAGGAAAGATGATTTTCTTGATATTAAGTAAGAAAAAAATTTTTTTTTTTTTTTTTTTGATATTTTAAAAGCATTTAAAACATTATTTCTTCTATTTATTTTTTTTTTGCCTTTGTTTTTGCAGATCTCAGGAAACTTTACAAAATATGTGGAATTTCAAAAATCATTCTTAAACGGTAAAGCAAATCACAACAAAGAAGAGACCACAAGTAATTATTGAAAAGCAGGCTAGCGGCCACACATTTCCTATTTGAGGTCATACTCAGCGCTGGTGCCATTAAGCATCGTGTATTTATTATATAAGGAGAAGAGAGCGGAATACGAAGTAACCGTTAGGAAGTAAGGAGACGATTAATTTAATAATAATAACAAAACAGCGATAATAATTATTGCAAAATACGTCCAAGAAAAGAAAGAAAAGTGAACATATGGTTGTTCTGATTGGATGAAATAGATTTTTCTTTTTAAACCATACAAGGGGACGTCATTGAACTGTTTTCGTATTTGCTATTATTGTACATTGTATTGTAAGAAAAAGGAGGTGGTGGTGGGCGGTGGCGGTGAGGCAGATTGTCAAACAATCAACAAATCATATTCACAACGAAGCGACGAAGACGCAGCGAACACCTACGCGTCCTCATTTACATGAACACGCAATTAATGCCTGTATAAAGCAGACTGGTTGTGTTAATTAAAACAACAACAACAACATCAACACACATTTACGTATTGTTTTTCTTTTCCTTCGGAAATATAACAAACAAAATAACCATGATTTCGAATAAAAAATCATACACCATGAGAATGCTGCAATTGGCATTGGCCTTAAGTTTGTTGCAAGTGGATCCCGACAATTATTTGCAACAACGTTTACGCAATTGGGACTCGCAGCTCGAACTCCGAGATGGGGACGGTTGGGAATTGGAAATGTTAAGGGCTGTACCAATGGTCGAATATCCATATGCTAATCGAAAAACGATGATGCCTCTCATTGAAGACTTAATACGTTTCGATCGTCAAGATGTTGTCTTAACGAATACTAATTATAATGTGACCGCTTATCTTGTAAATATATCAAATGATACTTCGAATACAACGGCTGCCATGCAGGAATTCCAAAGTATATCCCCATCCGCTGCAGCATCAACGACAACGCCAGCAGCAGCGCCGGCTTCTGCTACGGGGACAATGGGACTCGAAGAAGATTCGTCCAGATCTACTGGTCCTGTTGTCACGGTGGCTACTTCTAGCAATTTCACTCATATCAATTTAAATTTTCCTTCACCTGATTTGGAACAGTTCCTCAATTCGGAACAATTTCAAGAGCAACATTCTATATGGGAACAAAATCTCGCGGACTTAAGTGATTTCAATGATTTACCCATCGTTAATAGTTATGCGAATTTACCGTTAAAAGATGGCCAACAGCAGTCTCAAGATAATAATTTTATGGATTTACATTTGGAAGATTTTTTGCCTTCATTCGCCAGCGCTACGAGTAATAACGAGGCAACGGAGGGAGCAGTAGCCCTAAATGATAGTTTTCCGAATCCCGATGAAGGTGTTGGCATTAAAATCGAAGAATTAGACGATGAAGATAATCAAATCTTGCAAATGGGAATAATGGACAACAAAAATTCCTGTTGGAAATCTTCTGCTTCAGAAAACATCAACAATAACAACAACAATAACAACAACAATCTATTAGAGAGCTGCGTAAAAAAGGAACCAGAAATTAAAGAGGAAGAAATCGAGAAAATCGTTATAAATGTTAAGGAGGAAGAACGAAACTCAAGTCTGTTTGTGATGGAACCGGACCTCAATCCAGAGGTAAAAAAGATATTTAAAAATCCTTCAATCCATAAATAATTGTTAGCAAGGCTCCTTTTTTTTTTGTTTTGATGTGCTCGTGGTAATGGTTATGATCCACCTAACTGCACTGAAAGCCTATGTACTGATAAGGTCTGTGCTTTAATCTTTAACAGATTTCTGATTTTCATCTTCGTCATCATCAGTCTTTGGGTTTTATCAGTCAAAAATTGTTGGTCGTTTTTTTCAATATCGCGCTATTATTAATACGCCAGCTTTAAAAAGCTTCTAAAATCGTTCGTATTACCCGTTATTGCATTGTTAGAAAGTTCGCTGCTCTATTTACATCAAATTTTCCTTTCATCAATTTTTTGCTTTATTGAGGACATCATGTTATTCACTTATATAAAAGTTATACTTATCAGGGATTGGTGTTCTGCTGACGGTTTAAGGTTTTTCTTCTTTTTTTTCTGTTTTTTTTGTTTTTTTTTTTTTGTTTTTACATACGTACGTTGTGTGTGTTGCCCATATGAATAAACTTCTTGATGTAATAGTTAGTGAATGTACCTTGATGTCATGAACGTGATGCATGGCTGTGCATATGCATATGTATATATGTTTATGTATTTTCAAAGCATACTAATGCATTTGATATGCAATGATGTCGTGCGTACAGTTTCTATCTAAACAAAATATAATACAGGGTGTCAAAAATGTACCGGGATTATTTGTATAAAGTAAAGTATAAAAATAAATACGTAAGTCAAGTGATTCGTTTACTCTAATCCGCTTAATTAACCCCATTCTCTTAGACTGTTTGCGAGATTGGGCTTAAATTGATTTTATATCATCAAAGAGCTAAAATGATTTTCCTCTAGGCACTAACCGCATCTAGTGCGTTTAGAGAATAAGCGTATAATCTAGGCGCGCTTTAGAGAATAAGCATATAATCTATGCGAGCCTTGTTGAACGACCTTAGTGTAGTTTTTAGGCAAGAATGAGTCTGTAAGAATAAAAAGTGGTGTTAGTTCAAACTATTACGAACAGTACGATGTTCACTAAATTTCTATAATAATGTTAGTGGCAATCTTCCGCAAGTTTGAACAAAAAAGTTATCTTTTATCATCATGGTTCTGGAATTTTCGATATTGCATCCTTTGAGTTATCCTTTGAATTTGTTGAATTGTTAGAAGCGTCATTACATACAATAACTTTGCATTTTCGAGCGAAACCTCTTTCTGTGAATTTTCCACTTATGAATTTCGCTTATGAAATTCCATTATATTGCTAAACAATAAGGCGAATCGTTTATTCCATATTAGAGTTCCGGCAGTGTAAAGCGATCTCTTGCTGATGCTGCAAGAATAGTAGGACACTATTAGCCATTCCACGATCGAGGCGTTACGTTATTATTTTATTTCGATAGTGAATGCGGTGTCAATGTAGAAGAAAGAAAAAGCAACATGGAGGGCTGTTGACATTCGTCCTAAATGTCCAAACAAAAAAAAGATCGCAGCATTCTATGAGCAGAGAGAGAGCAAATCTAATATTTGTTGAAATGCTTTCCACTAGCCTCATATCGCTACGCCGCATAATTTTGATATTAGAGATTGTCTGCGGTTGCTAAACTCAGTTGTTGCATTCCCCCACATGCCCGTGCTCATCTCCCACAATTAATATGAACATTTATAGCAAACTGATTCATAGAAGAAAAATGGAAATTGTCATCTTACTAGCCATTTGTTTAGCTAACTTGGAAAACAGAAAAAATTGACCCGAATCTTAACTTAATTTAAGCAATAAATGTTTCCCATGGGGTATTCTTCAAGCTGTTTTGGTATAAGTACAGCAAGGCTAAGAAGCAGATATAGAAATATTAGGTCATATAAAAAGTTGTTTTTGGTTTTTTCCGCAGGACGGCCTTCAAGCCTACTAAGACCTGATAGTCTTAAACGAACATCTGCTTGAAAGGTGAAATTTCAGCTTACATTTTCTTACGGATAGTTCTCTAATTCTTTGCCCATGTAAAAAGATATATTGATTTGAAAATGTGATGCCCGCATAATATAACAGGTAAGAAATTTATAATCAGCGGAGGCCGAAAAATTGTCAAAATTGTACTTGTAATTGTCAGATACAGTGAACTTTCCTTCGCAGAATCACGTCTGACTGATAAGAGCATTGGAGCATTTGTTCGCGAGCTTTAGTTCGCGATTTTATATGGAAAAGATTAAAAAAGGGCAACAAGCTCATTGGGCGTGAAATCGAGTGCTCTTTGAAAGGCAAAAGGGACAAAATTTTTAAAGATTTTTTCATTTTATTAAAATGTAACTAAAAACATTGATCCATTATTTCAGAACTTAATTTTCTGAAATTCTTCCCATTTATCATGCAGCTGTCGCATGTATAAAAATTCAACCATCTGAGAGAATACGTTTGTTTACAATTCTAGATAAGTTTGCATGTATTGTACCACTTTTAAGAATAAGCGTACAAAATTCTCGATGATTATAAGAGTTCGGTTCGAAAATTATTGAAAAAGAGCTTCGCAAGCCTTAGTAAGTGGGAGGGATATAGTGTAAATATTCAAACTTTTTTATTAAACTTAATCGGTTCGGTTTGTTCTTCAGAACTAAAACTTATTTTTTAGCTAAAATGTATTAATTATGATGTTCCTTTGAATTGAGAAAAATAGATTTTTCCGACATATTACTAAAGGTATGCCCTCTAGCACATCTGGCTCATATTCGACATTTGAAGAGCTCTAAATAATCGACAAGTAAAATTTTAAATCCATCTTTGCTGTGGTGTTATGATGTGTTTCTAATTATTGATGCAAATGCAGCATATTTAAGATTTTTTTGTAGAGGTCACTTCTTTTTTGGTTTTTTAGCTGTATTAGGAGAGAGCTGTAGAAGCTTTTGAACATTTTTAAAAATGTTGTTGTTAATTTTTGCTTTCTATCTTTACATCACTTTAGCAATTTTGAGAGTTCCAACGTAAAGAGATTACTTAGCATCCATCATCAACGCACTGCTTGCAATCCTGCAATCTGAGCCTCGCATACCCACCACCACTATGTTTTTCGCGTTCTATTGTCCAAGTTCTTTTGCTTGATACCCACATCGCTAGTATTATTAAGAAGAAAGGTAAAAATCCGGAAAAAAAAAATAAATTGGTTTTTGAAGGGTATGCTGAGAATAATAGGAGTGAACGAAGGACCCAGAAGTGATTTGCTCGATTCCTTTCCGTAAATTTCAATATCACAGATGTACCTCGCTCTGGTCGAAAAAGGCGATGACTTTTTGCAACTGGTACACTAAGACTGGCACGTAAGGAATAGGGGAAGCACTAAACATCAACCACATGACAGTTTGGAATCATTTGAAAAGAGCAGGCTACAAAAGGGAACTCGAAATCGCGGTGAAAACCGCAAACTTTTTATATGATCCATTGTGCTCTTAAGTGTTAACGCCACGGAATTCGTTCGCAATGAAACTATCCGCGATGAACTAGGAAAAGTGTCTTTGAGTTCGATTCGTTTAACTTGTATCCATCCAACATTGACAGAGAAATTAGCGAAGGGACTTGGCTCTCATATTGTCCCTAATTTGCTTGTTGCGATGCTTTGTATAATTTTTATGGCGTCCAAAAAATTCATCAAGAGAGATGAATAGATTAGATGGCAAGTTTAGGTTTTATACTCTTTGCAGTACTCGGAAGAAAAAGAAATGAAAACTTTTTAGAGATACACCCCGTATGGGCGAAACTTGAGTATCATCTATCTCTTACGCTTCTCGACTGAGATTTCGGAAAAGTAGTGAGAATTTGGGTTTTTTCCTTTTTTAAAGAGAAGAAGATTTGAAAATGTCTTCGAAGTGTGTCGAATTTTTACACGATGGAAAGTCGCCTTAGCTGTAAGAGTCTAATCTACGACGTTTAGGAAAACAAGGGTTTAATTTACGAGAAACTGGAAAAAAAAGAATTTTGCTCTTTTCACTTAGTAGCCTGGACTTCTCTGGGAAATTACTTTATCCATTTCAAAAGCTATCAAAAAAAAAAAGAACAAGTAAGAAAGTTATATTGGGCGGGGGCCGACTCTTAAGCCGAATCTCGCACACCCACTATAGACACGAACATTAAAAATGCGTTACATACGTAAAAATGGGTTTTTATATTTTCTATACCCATTACTCATTTTGCTTTTTCCCCATAATATATGTATCAACCAAAAGGAAGCTTCAGAGACCCTATAAACTATATATATTCGTGATGAGCGTGAAATTCTGAATTGATTAAGCCATGACCGCCCGTCGGCGTGTTGTGCATTGTTAGCACTCTCCTGGTCGCAAACATTAAGATATCGCCTTCAAATTTAGTAGAAATGTTCAGTTTTCGCACGCAGGTTGGGATTGAAAATGAATCAAATTGATCAGAGCGGCAGCCTGCAGTGGAGCATATAAACTGAGCACAGCTCCATTTTTCTTAACAACAATTTGTGGGTTTTCGTTTATATTACTTGGAAATTGTAAAACCCAGAAGGCTGATAATTTCCACAGCAACAATCGGCCATGCCCAAGCAAAGTTACGAGTGGTTAAATATTGTTTTTTTCACATTTTTGAGGGTTTGTGCTTATTTATCAAAAAGCAGAGAAGACAGAATGTTTAAAACAGTTTTGTAGTCAAGAGGAGGTAAGATGTATTATCTGCCTTAAAATGGGTTAATTCTAAAATGAATATGGCAGACACCGCGATCTAGTGGATTAATTTCTCCTCAATAAAACCAATGATATGGGTATTAAATAAAAGTACTTGGAGAATGGAATGCGAAAAACATAATGATGGGTATGGGAGGTTCGGCCTTCGTTGAATATAACTTATAATCTATTCAAGGTATTAATTGTTTTCGGATAGATGTAGAGTAAAGCGATAACTTAGGCCGCGCACTAGAGGCACTTGATTTTTAAGAATTCGCTGATATTCCATGGATAGGTTTTCTAGCGTAATTCGACTAATGGACC